ATACATCCAGTTTTAACATATGGCTGTGAATCCTGGACAATTGGTAGGCAGGCCAAACAATTTCTTGAGGCATCAGAGATGTGGTTTTACAGAAGAATGCTTAGAATACCTTAGACAGCCAAAAAGAGCAACCAAGAGGTTTTTAAAAAAGGCAAGAGCCTAAAGACAACTTATCGCAAATATCAGAAGGAGACAGTCTTCATTTTTCGGCCATGTTATGAGAAGAGGGAAAATAGAACATGTTGTGACCACTGAAAAGATCTGTGTGGAAGGAGGGATAGAGGAAGACAACAAGAGAAGATTCTTGACAGTCTTGTTGCATGGCATGGAGGTGTGTCGGCACATGAACTGATACATGCTGCAAGTGATCGAAGATTGCAGAGAGGCATGATCACCCATGCCAGTCGGCAAGGCACCTGATGATGATGTGTAGCAAACACCAAACACAACATTCCTGACTGACTGGCTAACTATATAAGTTAAGTGGTGGTAATGTCCATCCTAAGTACACAAAAACTAGGGCGGAGTGACACTGATTGATCGTTTAGAACATTTTTAACAGAGGAATAGTCTTTAATAGGGGATTAAAGTCTAAACAAATTTTAACTAATACTCAACTTAAAATGTTTAATTATTATGTCAAATTATGGAGTAATACATGAAAAACAACTAAAACACTTACTAGTCAACTGCAAACATTCACTAAGTGATGCCTGTGCAGATCAGAGGGAATTAAATGGTATGATAGAATCAATAATGTTGAGCTTTGCAAGTGAACTAAACAAGTTCCTGTTGACCAAGAGGTGAAGAGAAGATGAGGCCGCTGGATAGGACATTCTGTGAGAAAACCTGTAAACAATACAACTAAAATGTCTTTGCACTGGAACCCACAGAGGCAAAGAAATAAGGGCAGACCAAAAAACACATGGAGAAGGAAATTAGAGAGTGAATATGGGGAGAACACTGAGTGAGCTGCATGCAATAGCAAAGGATAGAAAGACTTTGTGTGAGTTGGTTGAGGGTCTATGCTCCATTGAGAGATAGAAGGCAGAAGAAGACAACAAAAGTCTAAAGGGAAGACTTTCAAGCAAGCTGTTTAAATCTCCTAAAACATACTGTCAGATTACAGAGTAACATTACAAACTCATGAAATAGAAAATTTAGACTACAACCTGTGTGGAATTGCTTTCCTATACAGAAAGAAACTTTTAAGTTATACCTGAAGTACAGTAATATAGAGTATTACTTGCTGGAGTGTGAGAAATTAAGCTTACTAATAAATTGAATCACTGTAAATTACCTATGATGGTGGAAAACTTATTACATATAGCTCCAGATATCTGCGTGGCAAGATCAAGAGATTTCTTGCCACAACTAAAATTCCCATATAGAAGGGTAAAAAAAATGCCCATGTAAATTTTGAAGATAATTACTTCAAAAGCTAAAATGTATGAAGATTATCAATGACTATACAAAGGATGTAATAAATCCGTTACTTTAATGGTACAGTGCTAATAAGATTATCTAAATGCTTACTGCACAGTATCTGTCATAATTACAAACCTATAGATGTGAACAGGACAATATTTAAAAAAATAATTATACAAACTGTATAAATATCTGAAAGAATCTTTTTCTTCTTCACTTTCTCTTTACTGGGTATCAAGGGAGATAGAAGGTATAATTCTTTCTTTTCTGACCATCTCAACCATAGGGACCATAGTCACACAACACAGTTGAAGCGTTTCTCTGATGTTCTCTTTCCATTTTGTTCTGGCTTCTTCTCCTCCTTTTATGTATGGAATCAGAAAGCATTCTCTTTAAGTGGGCATACCATTTGATTTGCTGTCTTTGTATGTAATTTAGAAATGGTTCTTTGCCAACTTTTTCTCCTATGGCCCTTATTTCTGATTTTATCTCTTCTGGTCACTGCTGCAACCCTTCTCGGACATCTAATTTCCATGGATACAAATTTTCATTTCATTTCCAAGGTTACTAATTCGTTTCTGGTTTATTGTGAGCGACCACATCTGGCACTGGTAGCACAGAGTGTGAATGAATATGCTTTGTATGAGATATTTTATGGTGACTGAGATTGTATTGCAGTGTAAAACAAAAAAAAAGGGGGCGGTTTCTAAGCTATCTAGCTACTTGGTTTGCTTTACTGCATCAGATGTTAATTTCTACACCTAATTAACTATCTTTGGTGGATGTTGTTCCCAAATATTTAAACTCAGATGCCTGTTTAATGCCTTTGCACTCTACTGCTTAATGTAGGTTCTGTTTCTTTCTTCCTGCTGACATTACTTCTGTCTTTTCAGTGTTGATTTTCATATTATTTGTTTCACATTCTTCATTCATATATGTTATGTGCTGTTGCAATTTCATGGTTATATCTGCTATCAAGGCCTTGCCATCAGCAAAGAGTAATTAGTTGATGTTACTTTTATTTTTAATCCTTGGCATGGCAAATTTGCATATACAGTCAACATAGGTTAGAAACAGCAGTGGTGATAAGACACATCCCTGTCTTACTCCAAATATTACAGTGAATTGTTTTGACATTCCATGATTTATTCTAACTACAATTCTACAATCTGCATATAAAGTTTTGTACTGATGAGGTGTGAAGATTGCATATGTGCAGCTTCTAACTCTCCTAAATCATAGTTGTTCTCAAAGAAATTATTATACAATACACAAAATAGCAAAAATATACTCTTAAAACCTAAAGAACACATTATATCCCAATTATAACCCTGAGGGTTGTCCAGGACATTTATGTGAAAAGTAATAAACAAAAAATACTACAGTTAAACAGACATATGCCTCCTGTTAAAAAAACAACTGTCAGGCATTTCTGTAGGAATGCTGACAGTTACATATATCAAGGTGACACGTTAAACAGCAAGACACCGGGACACACTCTAAAAGGTCTTAATTCTTGGAATCTTAAAGGGTTTAAGCATCAAAGGATCACGTGTGGTAATGCAACATTTTGAAATTACACAAGTGTAACATATTAAACGATACTATACTAACTCAGCTGCCATGCAAATGACATATTTTATACATTAAAGGAGCAAGGAATCGCTGAGGAATAATTTTCCAATTCTGCTATAATACCTTAATGTGATAGTAGTTAAATATCAGCTAAATAAATAGACAAGATGCTTAGAGAGATTAGTTAAATGAAATAATAGTTTTCACTTACCACCATGGCGGTCATGGAAAACTATATATATCCAAAAGGAATCAAAAATGAATGTGAACCACTAAGCAATAAAAAAAGTCAGGAGATAAAAACATACTATATATTTAGGCTATTAACCACAATTCCCAATAAAACCTACGCTATCCACCGAATAACGGGCACAAAAGATGGCGGCTGCAAAAACTCCCTAACAGAGCCTCAGTCAAGTGTCAATTGCGCACTTCTGGTGACTTAATTTGTGGTTTTCTGGTGACTACCACCACTGCAGAGAGTATCGCCCACGCCGCTCATGCAGCGTGGATTGGGGCTAAACTAGATGGCCGGGACTCCTGAGCAGCAGCTCTTGCAGCCCTGACGCCCTGTTTTTGGCCGCCATCTTTTGTGCCTGTTACTCAGAGGATAGCCAAAACTGATGTTCAGCACTTGTGTTTTCAAATACAAAGAACTGGAAAGAAAGTTTAAATTGTGCGGTTTATGTTTTTACAGTGGTTAGTGGTAAACTGAAAACCTGCATGGTCACACACAGATTGGGAAGCTGGGTAGTAACCAGTTAGGGTGTAATACATTCCTTGGGACCCAAAGAGTTAATGTAGCTTCCTGGTGTGTATCTGTTATCTTCTTCAACAGCTTAGGACACTCATATGTTAGCTGTGTTCAGTTACAATTTTTAATTTTTTTATTTTCTCCTTCCGGCCCACACATCTGACTTCTGCTGACCTGGTTAGCCTTCTTGGTTCAGTTACATCAATTATAGGATCATAGTTCTTACTGAGGCCCTGTCCACCACTGCCCTAGGGTGCTGTCTGAGTGCAACCTACCATCTCCTGTCATCATTCAGCATTGCTACTGTAGTAGGTCTGTAGAGTCTTTACTAGGTTTTATTAATTTGTTACTTACATTAGCCTTCACTCAAATTTATCATAGGCATCTACAACAACAAGCTGTTTTTCTTTCTAATGATCTTTTCAATCTGTGTCCTTCTTGCTATCTTCTCAACTGTTTTTGTGCATTATTCAAGTGCATTCATCAAATCTTAATGGTGTAGGAAGATCAATTATCTTTGACTAATTCAAATAACATCCTTTAAATTACCATCCTTGTAAAAGAATCAAAACTGACAGTATTTGCAGACACTTAGAGCATTACTTGGTATTTTTTTAAATGTATGAGAGAAAATAAGCAAGCTAAAACCCAATTTAAGTGTAGAACCTCTTTTCACACCAAGAGGTGTATTACTTTTATGAGCCTTGTTTTCACAGACCAATATTCACTTGATAGGTATGCGATAAGACCCCCCTACATATCTCAGGAAATTTCCTACTATCTAGATATCCGACTGAGAATCTCTACCTCAAAGAGGGTTTCAGCATTTATCACTAGATCGGTCAAGTGTTCATATACCACCACATAAATCAATTTTTGTTGAAGTTGCTATAGTAAACTGTTCCTACAATGCCCAATAACTTAAATCCCTGGCATAATTTATAGACTTCATATGTTTACTGCCTACTCAAAACAAAGTGGCAGTGTTCATCTTTGACGGACACCTTGTTGAAAAAACTGAAACATTCCTTATTTCTTTTTAATTCTTACACCTGGTGTTAGATGCAGTATACTTTAATCATCTGATATCATTGCCATGAATTTTTAAGGATGCCAACACTGATACATTTTTAAATATTCCTTTGTCAAATGCTGTTTTTATTTTAGTAATGTTCGAACATTTCTTTATTTACACTCTTGTTTCATACTGTTCAAATAAATATGACTTTAAGATGTAAAAACATTAGTCCCTGATAACTTTGTGCATTCCTCTCATAACTGACGAAATGCTCATGTTGCTCAAGTGATATCTGAAATTCAAATATTTTCATAATGTGGGAGAAAGTTAAAATCTAAAAAAGAAAATATAAAGCATTAAATTGTGTGGTAACACTTCATATCAACACTGTTGATAATGGAAATTATTTTGCATGGCGAAAGACAATATTCAAAACAATGTTTTTCAGTTATGAATTTAAATAACAAGGTCACAAACATGCTGCTATTCTGGTGGTTAGATACAAGACCGCTTCTGTCCTAATCACATCTGTTAGAGAACCAGTGTTTTGATATATCACATACAACAGCAACTATCACTTTCAATGCAGGTGCCAGCTAATCTTCATTGGCTGAACAGAAAGACAACTTGGGAACAGAGTAGCAAATGGCTGCACACACAGTAAAGTGGTGTTCAAGTCAGTCAAGATCAACTGGTAGGAGAAGGCTTCATTTTTATATAAGTCATCCTCTGCTAGACTCAGGAGATGTAACTGATAGAGACTATGTGCATCTGATTACCTAGTGAATAGGCAGTTATTATTACTGGTGGATGCAGTTGTAATTAAGTTGAGCAAACCCACATGCAGTTTACAAAAAGCACACAGAAGGTCCTGTGATGACCCTGTCCAGTGCTGCCTTGACTGTATAAAGACATCTTGTCACTCACTGCACCTCTCAGACTCAAAGCACCTAGGCTCTGCTAGTCTACTGTCTAGGAAATATATAGTTTATTATCATTACACTGTTAATTTTAATTAAGTTTTTTTAAAGGCAACTTTACATTCAGTAGTTTGCCATCACTCTCTGAATGATCAGCTCTCAATACAAATATCCAAATCAATGCAAAGTGGTCTGCTGCCAAATCACTTACAGCTGGAATCAAATCAGGTACTTTGGAATTACAAAGCATGTTTGCAACACCTCAGCCACAGACACCAACAGCAGGTTAAAAGAATTTGTTTAAAAAATCATGCCTTGGAATGAGGGCACATTAAAAAAAAAAGCCTTAAAAACGTAGAGCAAAGAAAAAAATTTTAACAAAAGGACACTGAGCCACTAAAGTCAGAATCAATAAAAATACATGTCAACTAATATAGTGATAGAAAGTGGCTGAATACTCTGGGTGACTTCTAAATAGATTAGCCACCAAGACTCCCAAGATATCTATGATAACTAAACAACAGAGGAGTAACTTGAAAACTCAGCAAGAGAAAATAATACACTTATATGTCTTTATAAGTCTTTATCAATCAACAAAAGTAATAAATACTACAGACAAATAAAAATGATCCCATAGTGAAATATCCAAAATTACGACAAAATCAGTAATAAATATAGTTTTATTTTTAGTAATTAATTGAAAAGTCGATACACTGGATGCCACAGGGTAAAAGAAAGGGAGCACACACACACACTGGTGCATGTATGCATCCAGACACAAACATTTAGAGAAAAGGTAGTTATAAATAAATAAAACATTTATGAAGCTAGACCATTTGCAAGCATGACAGCATGTATTCATTAAACAGAAAGAAAAATGCAAAACATATATATGTGTTATGAAATTCACAGGTAAGACAAAATATGCGTATAAAAAGCATTTAACGATAAGAAGATTAATTATGTTGGCAAAGTTGTTAAAAAATATGAAATATTCCTCAGCAAATATTTCTTAATTGATCATTAAGTAGGAAATCTAGACTTTATAATTTTTCTTCTTATCTTTGTCTTCTTAGCACTCGGTGCCTGTTCAACTCCAGTGGACATTTCTAGTTGTTTTTTTCACTTCTGAACTTTAGTCTTGTTCCAGAACTTGAGTTTTGCATTCATATATGATTTACAGATCTGCCTTATTTTAATGCAGATTGGTTCCTTGATGCTAAGGCAGATGCACTCCGACTTGGAAGGAAACTTCCCTAACTAGTCACCTTGTATGACATGCTTGTTAAGGAGCTGTGGGTTAGTTCTTTTTCACCCCAGAATGGGGCCCAAAATTCCTACAGAGCAACTTCAGAATTCAATCACATATGGAAATGTATGCAAACATGTTATGTATATACTCACTTGTCAGATTGATTAACTGTACTTGGCCTAAGGAGGAGGGATGCTGAGCTGAGGACATTTCCAAAATAAATCTGTTACATAATAATTACCTGAAAATACTGGTAGGTGACAGTATCATTACAAGTTGATACATACATCACTGCAGTACATTACTAAGCAGGAGGAAGCCAAACTAGCTGACACAATCTGCTTGCTAAGTGAAGTGAAATTACACCAAGAGAGCAAAATGTGTGCAGCAGTAATCTATCAAGAACTTTTTCAAAAATTTAAAAGTATAAGTTTTGAATCTTTCATTTCAGACTTACCTTTTCCCGTTTGTTTAATACATTTGTAAATTAACAGTTTAGGGGGAAAAAGTTAATTTTTGTAAGTAAACAGAAGTTTTAGGTTAATGTTTTGAGCATTTTTAATGTGTGTGCATTCTTACTGTACAGTGTACATAATTTACACAAGAAACATTTATAAAGTACTGGCTTGCACAAAGAGGTCAGAAAATATGAGTAAGAACAGGTTTTGGTTAAAAAACAAAAGGTGTTTTCAATGATTTGGGTGGGGTAGAATGAGCATTTATAGAACTCTGGCATTACAGCTTTTTTTTATCCAGCCTTCCCTTCTACCACATTAATTGTTGCATAACACAGTTAATCTGGTCATACCACTGAAGTCAGGATGATTTGCAGTTCTTAACTAGTCTCACACTGACTTTTGATAATCTGCACACAGATATTTCAGTTACAGTTTTTGTACATCATTTTCAGCATGTGACTCTTGCACCAGATTAAAACCTCAAGGTACACGAGATCTAAGATGAGGTTAACTGATGCATCTCAATGCTTTATTTTTCATTTCTAGCTATGCAAAGAAAGACAAGAAAAATCAAGCACTGAGATTCATCAGTCTCATAATTTTCTTTTCTAGTTCAGTAAGATGCAGAGTTCTACGGGCAAAAATGCACTTTAAAGTCACAGAGGACAGAGAACACATTCCACATGAAGCACTGCGTGATACTAAGGGGCACAGGTTAAGGAGATGTGGCTACTGGATGCCACAGGCAGAATTCACTATCAGAATTGTATGTGCAATTGACAAGATTACCCTCAGAGAAGCCCTGCATAGAGTGATAATAATTGTGGACCAAGGATGTTGTCAATGGAAAGCTGGGGAAAAAAGCATTGATGCAAGAAGTGATTAATGAAAACTGATGACCAGGTAATATCATTATACACACAGATGGATATGTAGCAAGAAGTAAAAATAGCAGATGGGGGTTTATTACAAATGAGAATGGAAGCTGTTTAAAAAAAAAAAAAAAGCCTAGCATATATAATCACAATATCTAGCATGAGAATGGAGATGGAAGCTGTAATGATGCATTCTGATGGTTGGAGAGTTGTACAGCCTGACATGCCATAATTATAACTGACTTGCAGAACATTCTTCTGAAAGGTGAAACTGGTGCCTTGCACTCAAGAGTAGCTTGCATCAGATAAGACTCAGATAAGAAAAATATGGATTTTTGTGTCCAGCACATTTTGATGTGCATGGTAATAAGCAAGCTAATAGATTAGCTGTGGTATGCTACTTTATGAAAAGTGGACAGGCTGAAGGCTCTGTGGAATAAAGTAAACAGTGCAAAAGAAAAGACACAGCATCCATATCTTAAGAGATTGATTCAGCTAAGAGTCAGCAGTGGATCCTGACATCTACTTACAGGAGAAAAAAAGGTGAGCGTTTCGTCAGGTTGCAACTGGCACCATTCATATGGAAAATCTATTAGATACTGGGATAGCAAATGGAGAACATATGGCAATGCCCCAAGTGCAGTGATGTTATTTTTTGATTGATTGATTCATTCATTTATTCTAGCTGAGCATTTAATGTCTATGTTTCACATGCATACAGATGAACGGAAATGATCAATTCTTGTAATTACCTGATTTTGATCACCACTTATATTTTTACCTTTCCATATAAAGTTCCACTCAACTCAAATTTATGTCACTTGTGCACCTCTCGCTCTTAGTTCTTTTCTTGTTCTAACATCACATATTAAGTACTCACTGTGTCACTAAACAGCTTTTGTCCATTTACTTTGACAATTTTGGTTTACATTGATATTTGTACTATATTTTATAAAGATTGTTGTCTGTTCTCCTTCATTTCTAATCATGCATTTTTCAACTGCCTTGGTGCAAAAGGTGATACTGTAATTTTCTGATCATTAATGTCACTCTGTAAGCAAATTAAAGCTTCTTGTACAAATAATATTAAGATAATATTGAACATGGTAAGAGATCATAGACAGCTATGTCTCACACTAACTCCTATACAAAATTTACATAATGTGTTTTCAAACAACACTTAGGCACATGCTTTTTAAATGGTTGTTGAAGACAAGTAGTGATGATTACATTTAAATACTTACTCTGGATTTTTCAGCAGGACAATCAATGATGCAGCTTTATTTGTAAGAAAACTTTTTGAACAGGAGCTCAGCATGATGAGATTTTGTTGCTTCACCACTTTTGTTAGACACAGAATGGCTCGAGGAATTAGGTCTTGAGATCGTGATGCCAGCTGAAAATAAAATTAGTATAAGTAATTTGTGAATTACTTGGTTTAATATGAACAGAATAATTTGCATAAGAAATGCAGTGTAAAGATGCGAACAGTAATTAAACACAACAGCTACCTTGATAGATGTTTATACTTGACAATATTATTCTCTTTAACTCTGTCAGTCCCACAAGGTCACAGCTAATGTGCGAGTGGGTTTAGAATGGCAAAACTAAACTCATGGGTATACCAGATATAGGTAAGTTGTGTATCCTTTACAGGACATTGCAGAGCCAACCTCAGCAGCCCATGGCTGTTGTGTGTTTTCTCTAGGCAAATTTATGTCCAGTAGTTTGCCATTGCCTCCTGGACGGTCGGCCCCCTGCAGCTGGGATTGAACACAACACCCCATACTATATATAGAGGGGCCAAAAAAAGAACCCTTGCAGGAAACAAATATGTTGTCAGAGTTCTTCACAGTCCCTCACTAAACATGAGATGTAAAAACATACATAACATGCTGACTGGTACATGTGAACAATACCCAGTCACACATGTTTGGGGCTGAAAGAGTTAATAACTTTTCACCTATCACTCCTTTTCAGTAGAACATTTTTTTCTTGGCATTGCTTATTTTGATGTCTCTTTATTAAATACCTGTTAAATACCTGAATATTATATTTTTGTTTATTTTTATAACTCTGGTCTGTTTGAAATATGCTTATGTTTCTCTGTTTGTTTCCATTCAATCAATATACACTAGTCATCTATTTATTAATATCAGTTAGATACCATCTGTTTTGGCAGGTGTGGTTTTTTTAAAGCAAATATTACGCTAATTAGTTAGCCACTGCTTTCTGAATAGTCAGGTCTTGGCACCATTGCCAAAACCAATGCAAGACGTTTTGCTGCCAAATCATCTGCAGTTGGGATTGAACCCGGCACTCCAGCATTATGAAGCGCATTTGCCTAAGCCATAGATGCTGACTTATATATATATATATATATATATATATTTGTGTGTGTAAGTTATATATATACACACACACACATATATTTATAATAAATCCTTGTGTTGCTGTCATGAGTCCCTGATCCCCGTGTGGGTTCCAGGGCCCCACTATTGGGAAAACAAGAATAGACCCACTGCCTCCCCAAAAGCATGTCGTAAGAGTCGACTAATTGGGGAGCTTCCTTTGAAGTCGGAGTGCATCTGCCGGAGAGGCAAGTAACCAACAGTCTGATTTCAAGAGAATGAGATCTGTAAAACTGATGCACATGCAACACTCAGGTTCTGGAGCAGGACTGCAGTTCAGTAGTGGACGAGCAACCAGAACCTTCCGCCAGAGTTTACAGCTGGTTAACGCGAAGAAGAAGAAGAAGAAGAAGAAGAATGAGTCCCTGAGTAGTTAGATGCTTTTGTGATGAGTAGGAGTTTTAATCTCAACACTTCACCTCCACAGGATAAACTGGACTAATATCCGAGCTATGTTGATCTCAGACAAAATCCTGGATATCCAAGAAAATAGCCATATTTGGCTCGTCATGTAAATTCACAACAGCTGCACTGGGTACCCATAGGAAAAGGAAATGGGTTTTAGATGTCCAGATTACTTTAATTAATGAACTGTTTGGGCAGGTGACCCCTCCCGACAACCTCCTCCTAGTAAAGAATTATTAAAGAGCTCCCACCAAAATGTAATGTTATCTAACAGTTTAGTTTAACAGGTAAAAAACAAATACACTTGGAATTTAACAAATGATATAGTATAAAATTTGACATACTACTTTATTATACTAACAACTTTTTAGATGACATTTGTCAGTCTGCAATGTTTAAACAAACAGTGACCAGCTGACTGATGGTATGGTGGTGATGAGATGCTTCAGCTAGAGAACTGAGCACCTGAGTAGTAGTAGTAGATTTTACCCCACCACAACATCACACAAGCGATAAACACCCGATGACACAAAGTGCCACCATGTAGATGAGGATCACCCGTGGAGAGGTCCCGGAAACAGCATTCAGCCATTAAACCATTTTCATGGCTGGGCTATATTGCGGCTCCTGGCAAGAGCCAGGATGGGGCTTCAAAATAATGAAAAATTGCATCCTACAAGGGGATGGCTAGTATAAGCGATGAGCACCTGAGTTTAAAGTTATGAATTTAATTCATGATCCCTAGCAGTATAAATCTTTTCCCCTCATGTCACTTTGGAGAGTAGCTCCTCCCCTTATTCTGTACCAAACTCTGTCTTACAGGAGAAGGTTTAAGCCCTCCCCCTTAGGTACCTTAAAACTAAAGTTATCCTTCACTGTGCCTGTCAGTCAATTCTGACTGCCCATATCTAATCAAACATGCTTAAATGGGTAAATCTAATTTTCCCCAGTGTCAATGGAAAGGTGTGAAAAACCAGCCAACTGTGAAGACACAGTGGCTGGAGTTTCTTGCTGGTCAGACTTACGTCCCTTAATCTGGCAGCTTCAAACATGGCCAGTCTGACCTTTTCTATAACATTTATGACGCTCTGGTTTCCCCATGTAGTCTGACTGGCTAATATTATTCAATCTTAGTCAGGACTAATTTCTTTGTCTGGGCTAAGACTGGAAACAATTTTTAATCTCACATGGTTTAAGTAATTGGGTTTAGTGCATAGTAAAAATAATTCTTAGTTATTTTCTTAAACCAAAGAAATTATTAAACATATTCACTTCTTAAAACACTGAGGTCATTTCATCACAGTTATCAACTATTAACAGACAGAGTCAAGATGCTGCATATCAGGTAATAACTCAGAGTGGCCACAGACAATAATCATGTCCTGCATGAAAACCTGCAGGCAATTAAGGGTCACATTGTTCAATTCAAGATCAACCTCAGTGCATGTCAGGCATACCCATAAGTGCTTGCTCATTCTTGTCTGGAGGTCATCTATCAAAAGGGCCTAATGGTTTTCTTCTGTCATGCCGGGGGAGAAGAAGGGGAGGCATGGGAGATGTGTGGATCAGGTGAGGACCGTTGGTAATTGTAATGATTGTTTTATCCTTTCTCCTACTGCCTATACTGATATCCTTACTTACTAGTGGACATTCTTGATCTACTGGTAAAAAGCATGCCTATATCAGAACATCTGATTCTGTAGAGCTCAGGAATCTAACTGCCAGACCATATCTGAGTTCAAATTTGTGCCTACTCTTGTCTTTGTCTGATTTCATATAAAATGTAGCTACATATATTTTTGCCTGTGTCTTCCTAGGTATTTCCTTGTAGGAAAAGCCAGAATCTCCAACAGGAACTATACACATCAAACCAATCTCAACATCATTAACAATATAAGGTCGTTATTGCCAATCCCTTATTAGTATCATATACCCTCAGGTGAAACTGCTATTTTGCATATAAGCAGTATCTGCTATGTTATTAATCTTGTCATGTATTATCTTCTTGTACCTATACTTCTGGGGTTAGAGCATGTCCTACTACTAGGTGCGTCCACCAGGTGGCGGATGGTGGAAAGGCCTCTAGATATAGAGGTTAGCCACGAATATATTGAATAAGTGGCAGTGGACCAAAACAGGTGATGGTCATTGAGAGGAGGCGAGTTAGTTGGTGGGACAGCTAACTCTATAAAATACCTCAAAACTCTAGGACATAGCCATCGGCGGTTGAGAGGCACAATAACCTCTCCACCCTTCTGCTTTGCAGGGTAAGTCTCTTTAGACAAAGGCTATGGGAGTCTAACCATACACAAACTGGCGGAATTCAAGGGGAAACCACCGCTGTACTATCCCTAGTTAATCATCCTCAAAATAATACGAATTCAGATAACGACGTGATTGGGGATTCCGGTGGAATCCCCTCGTCCGGTAGGGAGCATCATGTTCTATGGGTGATACCCGACCGTCATCCAGCTGTAGAAAAAGTAAATGGTAGAAACATCATGAACATTGGTACATGGAATGTCAGTACACTCGTACAAAATGGAAAGCTGGATAACACCAAGATGCAAATGAAGAGAATGAACATCAACATATTAGGAACTAGTGAAATGCGATGGCCAGGAGCAGGGGAGAAGTATTCAGATCGGCACAAAATTATTTACTCGGGTGGAAAGGAATATAGTAAGGGAGTTGGTATTATTTTGGATCCAAAGAACTCAAAAACTGTTAAAGGATTTTGGACAATATCAGATAGAGTAATATTAGTAAAACTTCGCGGCAGACCATTTGACATCAACTTAGTACAGATTTATGCCCCAACAGCAGATAGTTTAGAGGAAGATATTGATGCATTTTATGACGAGTTAGACATGGCTGTTGATCAATGCAAAAATTGTAAAGTAACAATGGTACTTTGAGATTTCAACGCGAAAGTAGGAAGTGAAAAAGTCTATGGAATAACGGGTGGCTATGGCCTAGGAGAAAAGAATGTGAGAGGTGACAGATTAATACCATGGGCTGAGTCACGCAGCATGATAATAGGTAACTCCTGGTTTAAACACCATCCTCGAAGATTGTGGACTTGAGAAAGTCCTGGTGATAATGTCCGCAATCAGACTGATTATATTTTGATTTCAAGATGATTCTGGAGCAGCTTAGTTGGAGCAAAAACTAAACCAGGAGCAAACTGCTTTAGTGACCATGTTCCAGTTGTAGGAAAAATTAGAATAAAACTACAGAACATTAGAAAAACACCCAGAACATCAAGTTAAATTTAGGAATTCTTAGAACGGATAAAGAAATGAAGGAACAGTACAATGTCACTGTACAAAACTGGTATAATGCAATGGAAATTATACAGACTATTGATGAAAAGTGGGGTATATTGCGTGAATAAATTCAGCAGACATCAAAAGAGACAATCCCACCAACCCATAGAGTTGCAAAAAAGAAATGGATGTCAACCGAAATTCTACAGTTGATGGATGAAAGAAGGAAGAAAAAGAATGATAAAGAAGAATACTCTAGAATACAAAAATAAATAGTGAACACATGCAAAGTGGCCAAATTAGCCTGGCTCAATCAAATGTGTAGAGATTGGGGAAAATCACAGGAAAGACTCACATTCCATTTACCAATAGATAAATATGTTAACAGGAAAGATGACACATAACAGCACTGGATGTTCGAAATCAAAAGATGGTGACCTAATAATGGGACATAGTAATATAATTAACAGATGGACAGAGTATATAGGGGAATTGTATGATTATAATAGACCAGATGTAGAACTGCAGACCAACAATGATGGTCCACCAATAATGACTGCAGAAGTGGAGGATGCAATACATCATATGAAGAAAGGAAAAACACCCGGGCCAGACAACATCTCACTGGAAGAAATTGAAGCACTGGGAAATTTAGGAATTGAAATAATAACTAAACTTTTAAATGATATTTATAATAGTGGGTATATTCCAAATGACCTTTTAAAATCCATATTTATAGCTCTGCCAAAGAAACCAGACACTTTAAAATGTGAAGACCATCGCACAATAAGTCTTATGAGTCACATGATTAAGATTTTACTGAGAATAATTATGAGAAGAACAAGAAACAAAATTAAACCAGAAATCAGCAATGAACAATGTGGATTTGTAGAAGGAAAAGGTACATACAATGCCATATACATCCTAAGGACATTATCAGAAAGAGCTATAGAAGTAAAGACTGATTTGTACTTATGCTTCATAGACTATACAAAAGCATTTGACTGTGTGAAGCAGGAAGAAGTAATCAAACTGTTAGAAAAATTGAACATTGATGGGAAAGATCTACGAATAATAAAGAATATGTATTGGCAGCAAACAGCAGCTATAAGAATTAACAACTGTTAAGGTATATTTCAAAGCATAAAGAGGGCGTACGACAAGGATGTGAACTGTCACCTGATTTGTTTTCAATATACAGTGAATATATAATGAGATCTTTATTGTCCGGCATTGTGGTTGGTGGGCACAATATAAACAATTTACGTTATGCTGATGACACAGTCTTGATAGCAACAAGTCGGAAAGAATTTCAGGAAATGATAGATATTGTGGTGTTAGAAAGTGGAAGAATGGGCCTCAGTTTGAATAATGGGAAGACAGAAGTAATGGTGGTATAAAAGAAACAAATTATTCCTAAATGTGTAACAAAAGTCAATGGTGTTATTTTAGGACAAGTACAGAAATTTAACTATATGGGCACATGGATAACATCAGATGGAAGATACATAACTGAAATAAGAAACAGAATTGGACAGGCAGAAACTGCATTTTATAAAATGAAAAACATCTTGTCATTGAGAGTTAGAAAAAGAATTCTTGCTTGCTACAAACATCTAGTTTTAACATATGGCTGTGAATCCTGGACAATCAGTAGGCAGGCCAAACAATTTCTAGAGGCCTCTGAGATGTGATTTTACAGAAGAATGCTTAGAATACCTTGGACAGCCAAAAAGAGCAGCCAAGAGGTTTTGAAAGAGGCGGGAGCCCGAAGACAACTTATCACAGACATCAGAAGGAGACAGTCATAATTTTTCGGCCATGTTATGAGAAGAGGGAAAATAGAACATGTTGTGACCACTGGAAAGATCTGTGGAAGGAGGGATAGAGGAAGATAACGAGAGAAGATGCTTGACAGTCTTGTTGCCTGGCATGGAGGTGTATCGACACACAAACTGATTCATGCTGCAGGAGATCGCAGATTATGGAGAGGTATGATCGCCCAAGCCAGTCGGCAAGGCACCTGATGATGATGATGACCTATACTTCTAAGGATTCTTCAATACTTCAATATTCATACTTTTTGTCATGGTCAGGATACGCAGTATCGTGCAATACTCGTATTTTCAAATCTATTGAATGTATTTGAGTAGGTATTTCTACAATCAAGATTCTACATTGTGAATCATAGATGTTAACGTATGCAATATGGAACATGTTCAGTTCCAAAACGGGTGGCTACTCAGTAGTCAATAACTTTGTGTCGAAGCAAGACTAACTTTACAATTATTATGAGTACTTAAATAAATATTCTTTGAGAAATGACAACACAGTATTCAGTGTTTGGAAGTGTAAGCATACTAACACAAATAACAACAATACCTCTGTCACACCTATAAGAAGGTGTCTGAAAACGTGGGAGCTCATAGACTGAACCCCTGCATACCCAATGCATCTCCACAGGGATACATGAAATGACGTCACTAGAAGAATTCATCACTTTCGGACAGAAGATGGGACTGGTAGACAAATAGCTACAGAGATGGTCAGAGGATCATTTTTGCAAATGGAAGAGCATAAAAAAGGGAGCAGCGTCTGCTGACCAGAGAAGCAGTTGAAAATGGTGAAACTGGCTGCTTAAAAGGAGTTAAAATTAGCCCAAAGAGCATTTGAAAGGGAACAACTTCAGGCGGAAGTAGCCATGACAGAGAAAAAAGTAGCAATGCAGGTTAGAGTAAAGGTAGTGGACCTAGAAAAGGAGACGGAAAATGGTTTTCAAAACTGCACTAAGGGTGATTTGGTCTTCACATGGATCTCTAGCTTTGAGATTATGAACGAAACAATACTCTGTTCCTAAGAAAGAATGGCACATACTCTTTCACAGACGTATAGCGTTGGAAACCCTTACAATTCAAGAAACAATACCGGAAGAACTCTGTATAGACTATAAGTATGTGAGAGGTCGAGTACTAGCACATTTCAGTCTTGATAAGAAAGGGTACCATACCATCCACAGACAACATGCTAAAGATTCGAGATGAGCTACAACTCTGAGGCAAATAAATGAGCATGTAGCTTCCTTATGCTTAACCATCAATGAGCAACAGGAAGACACTATTACTGATAAAATTCCAGCACCTTCAACACCAGTCGAAAGTCATGGAAAGACCATTAAAAAAAGTGCAGTGGATTTATCGGACCATTAAATATTTCATCAAGTAAGGGAAATAGATACCATCCTTACAGTAAAAGATTTGTTGTATCAGATGGCCTGAAACAATTCTCCTTTGAATATTACAGCTGAGGCTATTGTAGAAGCCTTACATGTTTTCTCAAGAATTGGCTTTCCTGGAACAATTCTATCCAACAGAGGAACACAATCTATCTTTGCTGCCACACAAGCGGTCACCAAAATGATGGGCATTAAACAGCGATTCGCCAGTCCATACCATCCACAGACAAATGGGACTGTAGAAAACCTAAATGGCACTCTGAAGAGAATGTTGGCAAAAAATTCATCTGAACACCCCACAGACTGGGACATATTTCTACTAGCCATCTTGTTTGTGCATAGAGAGGTGCCGTAGAGTAGTACAAGACACTCCTTAATTGAGTTGGTCTATAGGGTGGAAATTAACCCTTTTGCTGCTACGTTCCTGGCGGTAGCTGTCTGTCCTGTGCTAAGCAATCTGAAAATCATCGCAGTGGGTGCTATATTTTGTACACTTAAAAATATTCACCCTAAGGAGGTGTGTGATTGGCCTGAGTGTTGAAGAGTCAGACGTACAATGGCAACGCCAAAAAACTTTTCGGAAAGTAACCACTAGAAACTCGATTTAATAACCTGGCTTCCTATGGGATATATCCTTTTCATCGATGTTGCCATATATGTAGTAGAAACCCCATGAAGAGTTTCACAAACTTCACAAAGTTCTGCCCTAGAAACATGACTGGCGAAGCTACCACCAAATCACCAGAGGGAAGGGGGAGGGGGAAGGAGGACTGTTCTCAGTCCCTACCCTAAAATATTATTGATAAATCTACCGCAGCTTCCACTTTCATTATAATTAATTGTAGTCACCATCTTATTACATTAAACAAAAAACTCCATTAATTCTTCATCAACTTTAACAAGTTTTTTTGCCATTGTGTATTTACTAAATTTTGTATTAACAAAATGCAGAATATTCCGCGACGACAAACACATATCCAGGCAAATCAAATATCAATGCACAAAATACACAGATCACCGACCAAACTGCCACGGTAAACAGAGCGTTGAGCAGCTTTTACTTTCTGGTCAACCCGAGCCGTTTCCATGGATCCCCAAGGACACGATTCCAAACTAACAGTTTATCAGTGCTAACTAAGCGGCCGTCTATTGCCACGTGGGACTCAGTGACACACATAAGGTGTATGGCCTAAGTGTGACTGGGCAGTGTTACAGCCATTAACAATGCATGTCACACATTCACTAGCTGCTTAACAAATACTGCGTGGAACGTCTACCATACAAGGAACATTAACTCTACGCTATCTCGTCGAAACATTAAATGGAATCACAGCCTATCTAAAAAATACTAACCACAAACATTATTCAATCTAACCGTCACTAAACTAACATATGTTTACCTAGTCGAAGCGCTACATCTCGTCCAGTCCAAGTCCATACTACACAACAACTCCTCCAGCGAGCTCTGTCCAAGCTTTTTGTTCCCCTCCTGCGTTAATCTCTCAAAACGCGGTAATCCGTGTTAACCGTGTGACCTGTGCGTAGCCAGTTAACTCGACCCAGTTTATTCCGTGGTCAAGCTGCCCGGTCTCACACTGAGTTTTACTAAGGGTCAGCTCGTTCATACGTGAGTATTCACTATCATCAACTCCGTTCATCCCATAGCCGAACTGGCCTCTGACACAAATAATGTATTTTTAATTACAGTAGCAGTAGTCTAAATAGGAATTGGAATGCAGGCATGATTCAGTTTAACAATATTATTAAATAGTGAAACTTCTTTTCATATATGTATGTCATACCTTCGATAAAGCTGACATCAAAGAAGATAAAACTTTAGGGATGATAGGATCAAATTCTTGGGATGCCAACTGATTCAGGAGTTCATATGTCACAACTTCGAGACTTTCATAATATTTGCCAGTAACTTCAGACTTAGTGCCTGGACTGTGAAATTGAGTAGTATAATCCCCCAAAGCAAAAATCTGAAAACAATATATGTACATGTGAACCAGACAGGATTTAAATGACACTAAAAGAAAAAGCACTTAGCAGTCTGTTAACATTACAAACATATCCCTAATTACTTGCTGCTACAGAACCGGTGGTGCCTTATGCAATTAATTGCGTGTGCAACTACCGATGTGTTGTTTATGCTGCTTCCATCGATGATGAACTGCCTTTCTAGTGTTGACATTTTGTGCTGACACCTCTGACAACTGTCTATATGCACTTAACACATATGTATGCCGCTGGCTCTGCCAAGACTACAATCTGTGTCAATTAATTCACAAGGGACAAGGAAAGGCATTCTCTGTATTTTTCACTGGCACAGAAATGGAGCATTCATGGGGTGACCCATTTGCTGTGATGTTCAAACTGTGACTGATTGATTATTTGAAGTGCATTTTTATGTTTGTTACTGTGCTAAGTGTAGAATCTGGCAGTGTTTTTATGGTAGCTTCCTGCTGAAAAGTATTTCAGTTGATGTCCGGACAACAGACAATCATCACTAACTCAATATTTACATCTAAATGGACATTGTCAATGTCTTAATGCCCAACGCTCATTGTGTTGTCTAGAGTTTCACGTAAATCTGATTTAGACGGAGAGCACCCCTATTTCTTTCAGGGATATTTCCCAGACAGAAATGTCTCTAACAGAGTAATGACCACATTACCCAGGATTCATTGTTACACATTGAAGCCAAACCTGACGTCTGTAGGAAAATAAATAACTGCAAAGCATTTTGTTGAAGTAACTGATGAAGCTGACACTGACTTTAATAGCTTATAAACATATCTGCAAAGTATATGGAACAAACCTAAGCAGTCAGTTCTAGACCAAACTAACTGTCACTATACTTATTTTCTATCTCATTTGTAATACTCTCCCATTCAACACTGATGCCCAAATGTACACTGATGTGCAAACATGCATCTTTCAAAACAATGCTGCTAAAACAGTTCTACACCTATAACTGAGTCCATGATAGAACTGAAGCTGTTAACTGATTTCATTTGAAATGTCTAGTGTTACATTCTTTGTACATTTAATTTACTGTAAAACCTAGTATTAGATTCAGGTTAGTTTCAGCAAGGAAAGCACAGTGGTAAGAATATTGAAATTAGAGATTTGCATTTTGTAGACAATTTCCACCAAGAGAAAGAGAGCAGTTGTTGTGTCAGTCGAAAACTATGCAATACTGAAACATACCCAGTATTTTGAAAGTCTCATTACATATAGCTTAGGACAGTAAAGACATTTTATAAAAAGTACTAATTTTGGAGAGAGAGAGAGAGAGAGAGAGAGAGAGAGAGAGAGAGAGAGAGAGAGAGAGAGAGAGAGAGAGAGAGAGAGAGAGAGAGAGAGAGAGAGAGAGAGAGAGAGAGAGAGAAAGAGAGGGTGGGAGAGAGAGGGAGGGAGAGAGAGAGAGAGAGTAAGAGGGAGAGAGAGGGAGAGAGAGAGAGAGAGGGAGAGAGAGAGAAAGAGTGGGAGAGAGAGAGAGGGAGAGAGAGAAAGAGTGGGAGAGAGAGAAAGAGAGAGGGAGAGTGAGAAAGAGAGAGGGAGGGAGAGAGAGGGAGAGAGAGGAAGAGAGAGAGAGACCAAGTCATAGTCAGTATCTCTCGAGTGAGACAGACAGAGTACTGTGCAACTATCAGGCAGCAAGGTCTGGGTAAGGGTTGTGTACGGGTCGAAAATATAGTCCCGCTGGCGAAGTAAGGCCAAGGGGACTGGATGCTTTAATCGTGACTGTCTTGGGTGGGTGAGGGCACAACAAGACGTAGGATCACCATGGAAACAGAACAGCAGGAATGCTGATGATAGCTGTGTGCTAGAGGGGACTTGTGTTAGAAGTCCTGTCGGTCATCGGAGTCCTTTGATAGGCTGATGTGCTGTGAGCACATGCTGGAGAACGAGCAAGTGAAGTCCGTCTTCAGTCAGCCATTGTTGTCTGTTGAAGTAATATTAAGGTCCAGTTGATAGGAGAGTTCTACTGGTCTTCTGTACAGCGACCCAAGAGTTGCTGGAAGCTGTAGACCTTCGGAGCTGTAGTGGTCAGGAGAGAGAGGATGCTACAGGTTGAGAGAGAGAGAGAGTGAGGACTATGTTGAATGTCAATTGAGATCAATGTCTACGACTGCCAGATGTATAGTCAGACATCTGGAGGCCAGCTACAAAGTCATGGCCTCTTCTAATTAGAAGATATCCAAGAATTTCTCTGATACCTGGTTGTAACTGGTGTGATGAGCCAGTGTGACAGATCTACACTTCAACATTCACCTCCACCTTCAGCTGGACAATCACAACCCTTTCTAAAGTTGGTACGCATGATCTTTCCCACTTACTGAATGATTAACCTATCTGTTTGATTGGGCAATAAATTTTAAAGCTCAAGTGGAACCTTACCCTAAACAAACTTTTTACAATCTGACAACAACGGTGTCACTGCAAGACTGGAAAGCATACGGGATGATGAAGAACATGGCTAAACAGAATTACTGCCTGATACTGATGGAGTCGCACCTTCCTAGTCAGAAATTATAGTATACTACGATGTGCTAGAGATCATGAGGAACATCCACGTCTTTGTTTTCAGGCTCCTGTACAACCTCAATAATTAGGTTTGTGTGTATGAACCCGCAACAACAAATACCTCAACACCATCGACATCAGACACATGGCCAATCCATCAGGACCCACAGCATCAGCATAACACAGGGGTCGCCAGTCCAGAACCCAAGTTCAAGGTGTCCACGGGTAGGTGGAACCTGTTAGCTTTGAACAGCAGTCCTTCTAGGAGACAGAAATTTCCAAATATAAACCCCTAAGTTCAAGGTGGGCCAATGTGTAAAGAACTGGATGGCAACAGGTAAGCTGGTCATGAATGCTGGATGACTGGCATGCATGCCGGGCAGCACCCAGGCTATAGGCTCTTGCGGGACATCCTCTGCCTCCTTCCTAGCAGGCAGGCAATACTAGGGTCACCAATGATTTGCTGCATTATTTCAGTTTTTGCTTATGGATTTAACTGTACACATGAATTGTCGCCGGAGCTACGGAGTACGTGCTCTCATTCTGACACTGTTTTCAGCAGATAGTGAAGAGTGAGTAAGGAGGAGGAGAAGACGGAATGGTGAGAGAAGAAGGCATAGAAATAGGAGGGCTGGCAACAACAAAACAAGATGAAAAGCAGAAAGATTAGTTTTAAAATGTAAGACTTGGGATATTGGAACTGTTATAGTGATAGGCAGAGCGGTCTTCCACTGAAGAGGCTAATATATGATTTTGATGCATCATGCTCTAGGAGCTAAATACAGACACATATCATTGCTCTGGGCAGGTTAGTTATATATACCTTATTGGACATAGGAGACACGGGCAAAGTCAGCTGGCGAAGAAAGGAGTAAAGCATGTGGTACTTGTCTTAAGTCAGTAGCATAACATTGCAAGAGGAGTTCAGGGTATACAGATGGAGACTGGTGGCTTCAGTTGGAACCTTATAAATGTAATTGCCACTGTAGACTGTTCTGTCAGAAGGAAACACTGGAACTGACTCAGAAATTTGGAGGAATTGCCAGATGAAAGGCTGTTCATTTGTGGGAACTTTAATGCGAGGAATAGAGAATGGTACAGTAGTGGAGAAAATTGACAGGGCCTTGCAGATGCCATAGTTGACTCCAATGTGTTTGTATGACTGATGGGAGGCTGACTAGAATGGCAATGAGGCTTAGTGATGCAGCAAAGACTTGCACATAATCCAATTTTACAAAACACTCGAACTCATGTTTTTATGAAATACTAGCTGTACCCGGCCACGCGTTGCTGTGGCATAGTTTGGCTAAATGGAAATTAAAGAAAATAGAAAACGCACGTGTCTAATACAATCATTGTCTGCTCAGATATAGAGATAGTCTTTGATCCCCGCCCACCACCACAACTAAATCCACCTACTACTATCTCCCTCATCGAAGGTTTTTGGAAAAGAAAGACAATGGAAATCGCACGTGTCTAATACAGTTAATGTTGCAATCATTCTCTGCACGGATATAGCGATAGTCTGGTTTTCCAACTTTAGAACACGCACCTTATAATTGTGTCTTTATTTTAGTGGTCGTTTAAATGGTGTTATTAGCACAGCAACAAAAATGGTTATTTTGTTATCACATGCTAAAGCTGTTTGTATTTTTATAGGGGACGGAAGTAAAGCTACAACTGTACTTGTGAATAACAAAGTAAGTCGTAAAAAATAGAAAAGCGGAGGTAGCGTTAGTAAAATATAAACAAATTAGGTAGTGAGAACTTGAAAATCAAGTGTAAAGCTCTTTAATTTCTCTTAAATTTAAGTCATTACCCCCCCCCCCCCTCTCTTCCACCGACTACTGCTCTCTCCCTCTTCGAAGGATTTGAAAATCACTAACTGGCGATATTTTGTTGTTGCTGTAACTGACATTGACATCCCTGTCTATCTGGACTAAAATAGGGAGCAGGAATTGTAAAAGGTAGTGAATAGGGCTAGTGTAATATTTACCACATCATCCTTCAAGTACCAGTACAACTACTAAAATAATGTCACTGCTATCTGTGTTACCATCGGAGTAGACAGAGAGTCGTGAGCCAGAAGATTTGGTTCCGCATGGCTAGTGCTGTCGCCACAGACTGGTCAGGTTAGGATGTATAATTTCACTTGCGGACAGAAGAACGCCATAACCTTACCGGCGGTCTTCACATGAGAGCACTATGGTGTAACAGCCCTGGTGTAACAACTATTACTGCTGCTACTACTTTAAGTGGGTAAAGCAGTTACTGTGACTTAAAGCTCTCTCAATTAATAGTTTGCCCCCCTCCCCCCAAATTCACCGACAACTCTTTCCCTCATTGAAGTAGTTGGGAGAAAAAAAACAACACTTGAAAAGCAAACGAACACAGGAAAAAAACACCATAATTAGGAAATGAACGCCATTGTAAACAGCACAGCTTAAAATTCCAACACAGATGAAATAACTAAATCTAAATGAAAATAAATGAAAATCTATAAAATTTCAGCGTAACCATGCAATCGGAAAGTTTAACAATGCAATCATAAGTATGCGAAATGGTCAAATTCAATTATCAAATGGTTTACCCATTTACTTGTTTTTTTTTTTTTTTAATATTAAGGCAACATGGCTAGTGCTGTCATCACGACAGAGCAGATGAGGATATTATTTTAGCCCGGGTAAAAAAAAATTTAACGACTGCGGATTCGAACCCAGGTCCACCGCACATGAACCCAGTGTTCTAACCATTCGACCAAGCAGCCACTTAATCGGATCAACGAAAAGAGAACTCAACTATTAGACATGTGAGTCCCTACTACTGTGTCGCGATTAAAAAAAATTCAAAACCGCAGGCAATTGTTTTCTCGTAGACAGATACTCCAGATATATTAATGAAATAGAAATCGCACGTGTCTATAACAGGGTTAATGAAGTTAATGTCGCAGTCACTGTCTGCGCCGACGTCGAGATAGTCCTTGATTGCCCCCCCCCCCCCCCCACATCGAAGGTTGTTTGAAAAAAAAAACAGAAAATAGAAATCGTGTTTAATATGGTTATTGTGGCAAATATAGAGATAGTCTTGTTTGCTGTACCACGACCTACTCTATGTATTAGTATTAGAGAAGGCGTTGGCTGCACGTAACTCGCCGGCGAATGGTAAATACGGCGCATGCGCAATTACTAACGTGGCTATAATTAGAAATCACTTAAGTTATAAATATTAGTTGCGTATATTTTGGCATAAATTGTGGTCACCTATCTCTAACAGTGACAGGTTGAATTTCAAACCACGACAGTTCAAAATCCCGTATCACAACAAACATATCCTGAAAATTTCAGCTAAATCGGTTCAGTTGTTTCCGAGTCTATAGGGGTGAAACAAACACACAAACATTGATTTTTATATATATAGATTGCTAAACATACCAGACTGCTGTATATTTCTATCCTTCCGGCAACACTAGCAGTAGCCTGTATAAATTCACACAAGTCTGAATGTTGTTTTAAGATGATTTCTGGAAATTTTTTACACAATTTCAGTAGGTTCTCTGCAAAAATTCTGAAAAAAAAAAGAAAGCAGAAATAATATACCTCAAAAAGTGTCTGGAGACTCAGAATGTAACAGCAATATATTTTTAATATACTTTTTTGTGTGTGAATATGCTTATAAAGTTATTTTAAAAAGTAGTTTGCAATCTTTATTTTTCATCCATGTAAAAGGCACTATTTGACCCAACATGTCACTTGTCAGATCATGTTAAACCGTGAAACTTGAAATGGAGAACAAATTACAATGAACTGGTGGTAAATGGGGTATAGGGCAAGAAAGAGTGTGAAAGCTTAAACAAAACAAGAAACAAATAAGTTTCAAAAATTAGCACTTATATCTTGCAAGAAAAGTGTGTGTGAGAGTGTAAATGTGTGTATGCATGCATGCGTGTGTATATGTATAGGTTTGAGCATCTAACTAGTCACCTAGACTCCTGTGCTCATATAAAAAGTTATTGAAAAGAAACATCCTACAGCCAAATATTGCTGAACTTCTTGTTTTCTTCCCTGACCAATAGCATTCTAGGGCTAATCTGGGCATTTTCTGAAGGAAAGTTGACAAGGAAGAGAACTGGCAATTTCATCCTACTGTTTCACAGAAACCAATTTTACCAAACAACAGAGTTAGTGAAGTACTGCATGAAAAAAACGTTTGAATTAGCCCTTTTCAAGAAGACAGATGTGCGTGACCGAAAAGGCACATCCTTCAAAAGGTGACCCCCTTAACCAAGACCTTGCGGTCCTGGAACAAAACACAATCGATCTAGAGGAGACAACCTCGATTACAATTTTAAAAAAAACAAGCTTAAAGTGGTTCTACGTGCTGAGAGGCAGGATGGTTGTGGGGTAGTCAATTGTGAACGTAGACGTCTGGTCAGCGGGAGGGGCGGCGCCAGGCGTGTAGACTCCACAGGGACATCCACTGCCTCTTCTCTAGCAGGCAGGCTCTAGTAGGGTGACCGGCTACTTCCTGAGTCATAACAAATGTTTCCATATAGATTTTTCATTCATCAGATTGTTGCCGGAGCTACGGAGCATGTGCTCTGTGCTTGATGTCATCTTCAGCGAGCAGCAGAGAGAGTGAAGAAAAGACTCAAATTTTGTCTGCATAAATAATGGGAGGCCAAGCAGAATGGCAGTGAGGCCTGGTGATGCAGACATGGCTATTGACCTAGCATTTGTTACCCAGTCAGCAGTGCTAGATACCTAATGGACTGTTCTGAGCGATCACGGAAGTGATCATCTGGTATTGATCTCCAAATCCAGTAAAGTCAAGGCTTCAAAAGCTTGTAGTTCATTCAAGTATGAATGGACAAATACACTTCTTGGAAGCCTCCAACAGAGGGCATGGAAGAGGAATATCAGATCTAATTTTGTGAAGCCTCCATGGTGGACATCAGAGGTAGAACAGGCATGGAAGTTAAAGACAGCTGCAGTAAAACAATTAAAGGAAGTGCGGCAAACATCCCTAAGCACGCAGGAAGAACTGGAGTGTGCAGAAAGAGATAAGAAAGATAGGATAGAGGTTTTCGAGCGTTGTGCAGCAGAGGCCAAAAAAAAAAGCAAACTGGGAACATTTGATTAATGAGATTGGGGGCGATAAGACATTTGGGAAGTTTTGGAAGCTATATAGGTAGATGCACAGGAAAGATCGGCCCAGCGTAGTAGGAGCAATTTATAGAGATGATGGTATGCTGTTAACCACAGACAAAGAGAAGGGAGAGGCTTTTCTGAGTCTCTCCTCCTGGGTTCATGGGCCTCTGAGCCATGTACTATAGCTCCAGGACTACCACAGCGATCTGCAATTTCACCTGTGCTGTTAAATGTTTTTACGAGCAAGACTGCATTCCTGGATACACCTGGAGTTAGCAGAGTTTTGCTATTAGCAGATGATGTTCTCGTATACAGGAAGGGGAGAGATCGGAATAAAATAGCTCAAGAGTTACAAGCGACAGTAGATAAGGTGATCGACTGGTGTACAGAGATGAGTGCTGTAATCACCGTAATCAACTCATAAAAGGCAGCCATCATGTGGGTGTTCTTTGGACAACAGGATTGTTGGAGCGGATGTTCCCAGACACACAAAAAATGGCTTGGACGTCAAAAGAGACAGCCGACTGTGGTACCTGGGAATCACCTTTGACAGAAGTTTGTCTTTCAAGGATCACATAGAGGGTGTTGTGACAAGGGCTCAAAATGGTCTAAATGCACTAAAGGTTATAGCAGCGATGGACATGGAGCAGAAAATGCTTTTCACACTTTACCAGTACTTAATCATCTCAGAGATTGATTATTCTGGAACCCCTAATAAACATCAAAAGCAAAAGTAACTGCAATTGACCAGGTTTCTTTCCTTGGCCAGGTATCTTTCCTTGGCCGGTAACTACCCAAACTTTTTGGAAGGGGCTCTTTCTTTTCTAAACCTGTCGTAGTTTAACAGCATCAGTCTTCTCTAGCACCTTGCCAGAGTAATAATGCTGAAAATGCTGAGTCTGGAATGATCTTTTCTCGGTTCTGGAAGTGGGGTTAGGTAGCTGTATACCAAATCCTGGGGTAGTGAAGCTGTTCTGATGCTCTGGTTGAAGTGAAAAGCCATCTCCCTGTGACGACACGACTACTAATTTTAGAACATGTCTTTACCTAACTTAAATTATTATATGTATTCAAAGTATAGAGAAAACTATGTCCCTGGATTAGGCCAACCAGAACAAAGCCACTTAATTTCCCTTTGACTGCAGTTGATATCAAACATCAGAACTATTACACAATGTTTAGGTGTCAAGAATCCAGATAACACTGACCAAGCTTCCACACAGTGGCTGTAGGTTATGTCTGTAAAACTGAGGTGTCAGTTAACTATCTTGTGGCCAGAACCTTAGGGGCAGGCAACTGGGAATAAAAGTAATTATCTTCCCCTTTCTTGAACTGCAGGCCACAGGCTGGATTTCAGAATGAGGTGTTAGCAGACAGCCTTTGATCAGCTGGCAGAGCATTTGGCAGACTGAAGGGAAAGAAAGGCATGACTTTGTTTATGACCCTGCAAAGCTATGTCCAGTCTGATGGGTATGTTTGAGCCTGCTTGACTAACAGGCATTTAGTGAATGTATTTTACCCCTTGGGGAGGAGCTTTGACATCCCTTGAATGAGAGAAGTTAAGGATGGGAAAAAGGAGGAGCATAGGAAGAGTTAAAGAAGGTGCATGGACAACTGGGTACTTGAGACACTGCCACACCACTTGTTGGACTAAAATTCTAAGCTTTGAGACAAAACTTGGCTTAGTGTTTTCATTTTTCAGGTAAGCGGAATTATTTTCATCCTTTATTTTCTGACAGGAATCTCAATTGTCCCTCTGTTTTAAGCACATGTATTTATTAAATTATTGTACTCCTTAACAGACATTTCTCCATTCCAGTAGGGCGCTATCAAATCTCTCTATATCTTTCAGGCCCATGGATTTTGACAGACTTGGCCCACATTAATTTTCCTTTATAGAAATGGCAGATGAGATGGTGGTATATATTAATTTCAGCACATAACTTGTCATCACGTTCATATCAAACCATGTCAGTCAGTTGTGAAGTCTGAGTGAAGATGGACAACAGACTTAGGACTTTAACTATCATGACAGGACTGGAGTGGGAAAGCAGGCTATTTAGGATATCAGTGTGGGACAAAAGACCTTCAGACTGGACATGAGATAATGTGAATATGAGGAGGAGAGGTAAAATACATTTTTTTTTAATATGCACAGCAGTCGGCGTGGTGTTGGTGGCTAGACGCCCGCCTGCATTTTGGAAGGTCGAGGTTTGCATCCTGATGGAGCCGGACTTTTTCAAAAGTGACCTTGACTCCCAGGTCAACCCAGCCTTAAGTAGATACCAGGCGCAGTCCTGGGAAGTAAAGGCGGCCAGTGTGGTGCTGACTACATCAACCACCAAGTGCCAATTGGCCTAAAAAATATAGGTCTAGGGTAAGGGTCCTGTACTTTTTTTTGAATATGCATGCTGTGAGTAATCTAAACACTTCATATATGTGCTTGTTTCTTTTATCGCAATTCCCGCCAGGGGCTGGGACTAGTCAGCATCTATTCTGCGCAGAAGATCTGAGTGTAAGACCTGCTTGAAGCAGTGAGGATGATAGGCTCGGGAAAGTTAGGCAGTCTCAAACAGATCTGTCTGATGTTCATTTTCTCAATTTTTAAAAGCTACGTAATTCTTATTCAGAAAAAATATCATCATTGTAACACCATCCTCACTCTATCATATGCACATATTACTCACTGAGTTAATTCATTACTATCAATAAGCCTTAATCTTTTTTGACATAAGATCAGTACCGTCCATTTATTTTTGTTCAGACTTGAAATAAAATTGTGTTCAAGTTATTATAAAATCTTAGTTAGGTAAATTGTGTACTTAGGTTCAAGTGTCTGTGTGCATACTAGTTTACCTCAGCTCACTTATATGTAAATCAATTGATGGGAGCTTTTGTATCTTTGAATTCATCTTGATATCTAACTACCCTTCTCCTACCCCTGTGGATACAAGTACTGCTAGCTACTTTAATTTTATTGTATGAGCCAGTTTTGCTGTTTTCTTGGTTATCCAGGACTGTGTCTGAGATCAATATGACTTAGATATTAGTCCAATTTTGTGGTGTCGTATGCTAAGCTGTCTCGCACTAAAGATTTTTCATTGGCTTTCGCTACGAACCCCCAGGGACTTCTCGTTCCTCTCACCACTGAACCATCTGTATAGATAATCAGATCATCTGGGCATGAACTGTCGTAAATCAACTGTTGGACTTCATCCTCCGTAGCACCCGCTGGCTACTCTCTGCACTCCCCACCCAATGTGATCATAACCCTACACAGGTCAGACTTGTCCTCTCATACTCTGACCCACTCCTCTCCTCGCAAAAAGTTCTCCAGCATAGTAGTATATACAAATTAGGGGTTGAGCACACTTGCTTTTTTAATATAATCATGTTTTTTTATTTGTGTCCGATTTC